GCTAAAAGTCGCCATGAAGGCGCTAGGCTTCGATCTGCCCAAGGCCGAGATCCTGAGCGTCTTGCAGACGCATGGTGTTGCTGCACCGTCGGGTAGCGGGAAGCAGGCTGTCGGTGCGGGAGGGCAGGCGAGACAGGCGTCGGCAGCCCAGTATCAGCCGCCTGCGAGGCAGTTGCTTGGGTTTGCAAGTTTCCAGACTCTCATGGCCCAGAGGATATTGAGCCGTGATCCGAGGGAGGAGATTGTGCGCGCGTTTGAGCTGTTTGACGAGGGGGGAAAGGGCAATATCACGTTGCAGGACTTGACGAGGGTGGCGAGGGAGTTGGGTGAGGGTTTGTCGCATGATGAGCTTGTGGCCATGATTGAGGAGTTTGATATGGATGGGGATAATGCGATTAGTCGGGATGAGTTTATCAACATTTGTTTAGGATAAAGCGCATGAAAAGGGCAAGGCAGGGCGTTACGGAGCATCAGGCATATGGGGGCGATTCTTGATTTGTTATCTACAGAAGGCTTCACGACGGTATACCACGCGTTTGATTCAATTGTAATTCTCTTGGATTCGCGCCGAGTAACTATTTACAGCTCGGCAAAGAAATTGCACACATCAAACAAAAAAGCTTAACAAAAGGAAGATGCATTGTACAAGATGCGCTCCACTTTTCTCTTCCTCAACCTCCTTCATATCCTTTCTATTGGCCTGGAGCAATCAGCTTGCCTTGCTTCGCAGCGTCGTGTGCCCAACCGCCAGCCAATGCCTCACCACCGTTCTTCAATCCATAATCCTTTATCCTGGCCTCAAGCTCTGGTCTGAAGTGTCTGATGAGACCCTGGAGAGGCCACGCGAAAGCCTCGCCCAAAGCGCAAATAGTGTGCCCCTCGACCTGCTTTGTGAGCTCCTGTAACATGTCGATCTCACGCTCACGAGCTTGTCCCTTGTAGAACCTGTCCATGATCTGATGCGTCCACTTCGATCCCTCACGGCAAGGAGTACATTGGCCGCAAGACTCGTGATGGTAGAACTTTGCAAGACGGGTGATGGCACGAACAACATCGGTAGACTTGTCCATGACGATGACTGCAGCAGTTCCGAATCCAGACTGCGCGTCTTTGAGAGCATCAAAGTCCATGAGCTGGTCGTCGCAGATGTGCTTGGGAAGAATAGGAGTAGATGAGCCTCCAGGGATGACGGCCAGAAGGTTGTCCCAGCCACCACGGACACCACCACAATGCCTATCGATGAGCTCGCGAAGAGGAATAGACATCTCCTCTTCAACAGTGCAAGGGTTGTTGACGTGTCCGGAAATGGCGAAGAGCTTGGTACCCTGATTACGCTCGCGACCAAAGCCAGCGAACCAACTGCCTCCTCGTCGGCAAATGGTGGGCGCCACGGCAATCGTCTCGACATTGGCAACTGTTGATGGACATCCAAAAAGACCGACGGCAGCGGGAAACGGTGGCTTCAAACGGGGCTTTCCAGGTTTGCCCTCCAATGACTCGATGAGAGAAGTCTCTTCACCGCAGACATAAGCGCCCATACCACGGTGAACGTAAACATCGAAATCGTAGCCGGAACCGCAGGCGTTCTTGCCGATGAACCCGGCCTGGTATGCCTCCTGAATGGCACGCTCGAGTACGGCAGCCTCGTGGTAGAATTCTCCTCGGATATAGATGTAGGCAGCGGTAGCGTTCATGGCACGGCCAGCAACGAGACAGCCTTCGATGAGCTTGTGCGGGTCCTTGCGCATGATTTCACGATCCTTGCAGGTTCCGGGCTCTCCCTCATCAGCGTTGACGACAAGATAGCGGGGCTTGGTGTCCTTTTCCCAGTCCTTGAAGTTCATAAACGACTGCTTCAGTCAGTATGCAGTTGCTTCTCAATTGATTACTGGCCGCGTACCCATTTCAAACCTGATGGAAAGCCAGCTCCACCTCGGCCTCGAAGACCTGAAGCCTTGATCTCAGAGATGATCTGTTCTGTCAGATATAGCTCGTGTGCTGAAATGTGCAACACGTACCCAGTCGTGGCCTTTCAGAAGAATCTCCTTGGTCTTGTACCAATCGCCATACTTCATAGCACTCTTGATGTCTGCTCCATGGTGGCTGTACAAGTTCTGGAAGATTCTGTCCTGATCCTTCAATCCGCCATATGTCCTCGCTGGAGGATCCTGGACAGTTGCCAATGTCCTCTTCTGTGTCCGGCTTGGTGTGGATGCGGTCGAAAGGCGGGTAGCTGCAGAAGCTGCGGGCAGGGCGCGGGTTGCGGCCGCGGTGAGCTTCGACGTGACAGGTGCGTGTCGTGCGAGCATCGTGAACGCTGGAATTGCTTGCTCGATTGCAATTGATGCTTGGGGGCCGGCGACCAGGGCGTTGACGTTGCGATAGGTGGCGGTCGTCAAGTTCGCGGCCGTCGGCAATTGCCAAGAACGTCGATGACCTATGCTTTTTTTGCCTTCTATGATTGGCTCCCGGGTAGTCTTGACATCAACACCTGGACATCATTGATGCGCCTCTAGATCTGCTACACTTGCTTCGATAGGTCAATTAATGATAATGTATCTAGCATTTTCACAGATAAAGTTCTACCGTATCCATCACCTCTAGTGTATACAGCGCAAGCCTACCCAATGTCATGTTTCTGAAGCAATTCCTTCTTCGGTCACTCGGCAATTGTTCTTGCTCAGGCTGTAACGATTGTTGAAGTCAGCAAGTTCAATAGGAACTACGTATCAAGATATCCTTCCGAGAGGATTATACAGAAAGTATTATTAAAATCCAGCAACGTTCACATCAACTACTCGCCAATGATATGTCTTTAGGACTGGGTTGCGCACGTTACTCTTGCGTCTAACACCGTTAATAATGAGTGCAAACGCAAGTTAGTTGTATTTGAGCCATATAATTCCGAGACATGATATATGCGAATAGAAATTTACCCTTTGACGAATAAACATCAAACTTAATTGAATCTAATCACTTATGCAACCACATCATTAGCCTCCTTCTCCCTTCTCTCCTCCTCTTTCGCACCCAACTTGCCATTCTTCTTATGAACACTCTCCAACACAAGTCTAATCTCCTGCAAAAATCTATCTACCTCCTTCTCCGTACCCACTGTTATCCGCAAGCAGCCCAGACAGCCATGTTCCTTTCCTCTGAAACGGACAACGACGCCTTTCTCTTCTGCAAGGCCTTCGTATACAGCCAAGGCGGTCTCATTAGAAGGCTTTCCACCCTGCTCGGCTGGTGCGTCGAGCATCTGGTAGAGTAGAAAGTTTGATTCAACGCCGCCGTGAAGCTTTCCGACTCCAGGGACTTTGGGCAGCTCGGCGATCAATCGTTCCCGCTGTCTGACAATGAGGTCCTTGTTTCTCCGCATGACATCGAGATGTTTGGGGCTCAGTGCTGCGCGAGCAAGCTGGCTGGTCGGGTTGGGAATGTTGTATGGTGCTTTCATCGCATTCAGCAGTCTTGCGATCGCTGGGTCTGTGAAAGCAGCGCCGAGACGAATACCCGCAAGACCAAAGGCTTTCGAGAGAGTCTGCATAACAACGAGGTTGGGCCATTCCGTTACCCATTCTGCGAGACTGGTCCCCTCAGGGGCAAAGTCGATGTATGCTTCGTCAAGCACAACTACTCCATTCCATGTCTCATGCTCCAATATTGCTTGTACGTCCTCCTTTCTCAAAAGCTTCCCTGTGGGATTTCCCGGAGAGCACAGGTACGCCAGTTTTATGCTCTTATCCTCGTCCAATGCTTTCAATATCGCCGGTACATCGAGGTCGAAGCTTGGGGTTTGTAGCGGGACTTTGACAAGCGAGACATCATTGACTTGCGCCGATACGCTGTACATGCCATAAGTTGGCGGGCATGTAAGGATTTTCTCTTTGCCTGGAATGCAGAAAGCGCGAATGAGAGCGTCAATGGCTTCGTCTGAGCCTACGCCGACGAAGAGATTATCGGGTGTGATGGTCTTGGAGGTATGCGTGTGGGTGTTGCGCAAGTTGCACAGGAGTTGCTTGAGGTCTTCTTGGTGACTGAATATTATGGTGTTAGCTCATACTCCATTATATTGAATTTGTAGAAAGTCGTACGGATCTGGGTATCGATTCAGTCCAAGCAGATCTACATCTATCGCTGAAGTAGAATCGGATGCGCCGTTGGCATTCGAACCAGGCAAATGACCTTGACCGTCTAGTGCTAAGCCAGGGCCATATGCATTCTCATTCGCATCAAGGAGGATGTTCGTGCCATCGTCTTTGTAGTCACTGGGTGGTTTGTAAGTATTCGTACCGCAAATGTGACTCAATGTGCTTCACCTACTCGCGCGCACAGCGATACGGCTCCAATGCTAATATATTGGGTCGCGCGCACGTCTGCAAGTCAAATGCCGTCTTTCTTGAAGCCATTGTGATTGTGAACGTTGTGAATGTGATTGTTGACGTAACGGTTGTGAGTCCAACAGGGTAGTGGGGAACTTTTTGTACGGCGGGGCACTATCGACATTTGAACGGCGATGTCGGGAGTCATACACTGCCACTCAAGTAGGTACCTAGGTACTTACAAATTCTGAGTATGAATCATCGTACGCACATATTTGACCCGGAATGGAAGGACAATTCCATATCTAGAATAATGCAAGGGTGTTGAAATTTTATATCGAATACAATGCGTTGTAGGCCACCACGGAAATACAGAAAATTAGGTTCAGGGTTTCCGTCAAAGGAACGATATTCTACAATCTCCTGATTCCATAAGCGCATGATCATTTTTGTTCAATTCTTAACCCCGGCACGTCCTGGTTGCACATAGTACTTGCCTGATTTCGTGCAACTTCCCAAGTACCCACATTCACTCCATATCGACCCGCTTTACGCGAAACGCACAAACCACACCCCGAATGTCGTACAACCCGACCCACAGGTCGAATTTCTGTTCCCAGTCTTACCTTGGATTCAGCAACTATACATCTCCAAAAAATGGCAATTCACTCAACTAAATCCGATATGGTCTAGTGGCTAGGATTTGCCGCTCTCATTGGCAGAGTTTACTCACTGCTGTAGTGCCGGCAAGGCCCGGGTTCAATTCCCGGTGTCGGAATTATGCTTCTTTTTGCTTTTCTTTTGTATACTTTAAGTTCTTTGTCTTCCTTTTTGGGCTTTGTTTTTGTGTTCGGTGAAGTGACGCGGAGAAAGAAGCCCTGAGCCTTGCTGAAACTTCACATACGAGATGATGATCATTTATATTAAGCAGAAGCATTTACCACTCTATATCCTGGGATGATAGGGCAAAGGTTTTATCAAAAACAGTTTCAAGACACTCAACTCAGTATCCCAACTCTTACGCCGCATATTCACCTATCCACTAAAACTTCATTCAGTAGCCACATTGCGAAATCCGATTTAGACTAGACTGCTGGGGCCGCTCAAGAACCAACGACACACAAAAAAAGTCCACGAGACGATACGACAAGTGGACATAACCTGAGAAGGTCTCCAAAAAGACATACCATAAGCAGACTGTATGCTACGCTTATACGGGATACACACTGACGACAGAGCTCTATCCAACCGGTGAGAATTCCAGTACCAGCTCGTCAATGCCTTCACCTCTGCTCGACGGGCGGAGGGCAGTGCTTAGTCCAACCTCCTCATATGGACTAGAATATCAAGTGCATAGGCAACCAAAAGCATTGCTGAGATCGATGTGAAGTTTTATTGGGGCTTCTTATGCTAATCGCTTCACCCAAGCTATTATTTACTGGAAAACCAAGATACCAATTAACCAAATGAAGTCAATACATCTACAAACACGACAGAATCGGCTTTAGCTTATTGATAATCTGCGTCTGCACCGCCGCATCATTCACTGTCGTCTTATCGCCCGCATCACCAGGGCTGATCGTGACATAGCACTTTCCACCCCTGATCAGAATTACATCCGCCTCCCATGGCAAGCGTGTGCTACCACACCAGTTCGCGTCGCGAGCACTCAGCAGGCCGGTGTTGATGCGCGTGAAAATGTACTTGAATTTGCTGGCGTCGTTGCACTGCGTGGACGACACAGCAGGGAAATTGACGTTCAGCCATGTGTTGGCAGGTAGGTAAGGGGCGCCAGAATTAATGATCGTGGTGGTGATATTCAGGGCGAGGTCGGCGTAGACCTTGCTGTGCAGAGGAGTTGGGGCGTTCCACGCGGTGGGATCGCCGGTTTGGCCTGAGAAAGCAATTGCTGGGATATTGGCGGTTTTTACTGCATATACGGCTGCGCCAACGGTGCCCGAAAAGGGGACTTGGACTGCTACGTTTCCACCGACGTTTGGTCCCGTGAGGGCGAGCTGTGGCTTTGCGCCGTTCCAGAGCTTGGGGCCGACAGTGTCGATTCCATATTTAATGCTGGTAACAGGGTAGGAGTTGACGTAGTTCAGCCGAGGGTCTGTGGCATTTGCGCCAGTGGCAGGGCTTCCACCTGGGCAAGAAGCGTGAATGCAGCCATCAGAGTCAACTGTTGTTGGTGGGCTATCTGAGGAGCCTGAGTTGAATTAGAATGTGTCGATCATGTAGGAGAAGCGCCGAGATGACAAACCTGTTCCTGACTGATTCTCAGCTGGGCCTGAGAGCACAACCTGGTGACCCGCTGCGTTCAAGACATTGAAAAACGTGCGTAGATTGGCTTCTGCCCAGCCATCGTCGTTGGACTGGACGATGCGAATGCCTTGAGCAAGAGGCAAAGCAGCCGCAAGCAGAACCCAGGATCGCATTTTGAACGAACGAATGACAAGGACGAGAAGCGAGAGATGGCTGTACGCACGAGTTTCAATAAACAAAGAGCTTGTTCACACGGAAAGAAGGCAGATGATGATGTTTATACAAACCTCAGCCTCCGACGCCAGACACGGAGTCTCCGCAAGGCGTCGGGCGCCAGCTGTTAACCCATGAAGGCGCCCGTTTACAAACAGGGGTGGGCACCATGTCAGAGTCTGAAATACACAGCAACGTGCGCGCCTCCACGACCTGATTGACGGCCAGGTAGATTGGACAGCAGGTGGATCATCCGAGACGTCGGCCTTGGAGGTATGAGTGGAGGTTGAGCCCCGACGCGGAAACGCTGCATGACCCTGAAAGGTCAATAGCGTCTCGGCTGGGACCCCTGAATGTGGCAAGACTTGCCGATGCACATTCACACGTGTGTTCTACTCAAGCTTTCATTCCTTCGTGATGTGAGAGAATCTGTTGTTGCTCTATTTTGATATATTGTATGCATACATTTCTCGCCCTTTTCGGCAAGATTTCTTTACACCTTCCCAATTTCATACATTCGTAGACACCGAGGACTTGTCCTCTGAACCACCCCAGAGCTCCATAGCAGCTTGTAGATGTCACTCCCAAGCCTCAAGTAGCCCATCTGATGCTGGTTGTAGAATGCAGACGAATTGTTCCGCGTGTTTTTCCCTCAGTCCCATATGCAGGGACGATGTATCCTCCAAATAGTGTTGCACTCTCTCAAAGCACCAATGCTGGAGAAGTACCACCCTAGAAGCGAATAAATGATGCTTTCCCTAGGGACCAAAACGTCTCAACGGGCTGCTTGGCCAAGATTTTGACCTTGCTTAAACCATATTGGCAGGCTTTGCGGGCTGCTGGCTGTAATAATCTCCTGCTGCACCACCTTGATATGGGGGCAGATATTGACTCTGAAGCTCCACTGGTGCACTTGTCTGGGAATGGTATGCGGTATTTTGTTGGTACGGATTGCTCTGGATGGGTGTGGGGTATTGGGTTGGGTGGGCGGCTGGGTAGGTGGATAGCGCTGGAGCAGCAGGGTTGTGTGCGGGCGCATACTGACCGCGCTGAGCGGCCTTCTTCGCACGGTTATAGCCGACGATCGAGTAGATGAGGAGGCCGACGAAGGTGAGGCTGGACATTGTTAGCACTTGATCTACTCGACCAAATGGCTAGACTTACAAGACAAAGACACTGAAGCCAATGCCAACGGCACTGGCTCCCCTACCAATTGCTACCAAGTCGAGAATCAGGACTCCTCCCCAGAAACCAGTCTGAAAGCAATTCATGGTCAAGAAAGTCGCCGGTTTCAGTGCGTCGCGGATGAAGAGCACAATTGCGAGCACATCGAGGAGGAGGACGATGACAATGAACAGCATGAAGATGACAACAGATCTGGAGAAGTTCAGCATTTACTCGTGAAGAGGGCGCAACCATTTACTTACGCAACTGCTGGTTTGGTGACGTCTTTAATGCTGTCCAAGTTTCGCAGAGTAATGGCGTAGGCTACAATAATGAATATCATAAGGCAGATTCGCATCACCCAAAAGGGGATGAGGACGCGCTTCTGCCAGACGACAAGCTGAGGCGCCATGTTGAAGAAGTGTTATTTAGTTGGTGAACAAGTTGCGCGGGGTTGTAGACTGAGTGTTTGCAGGGACAGCAGAGGGTGCGCGAGAAAGTGTTTGCAATCAACGTGTCAACGAGTGTCTGGAGAATGAGCGAGCGAAGGAAGGAGAGAAGGAGTGTTGAGCTGAAATTATCGTAACTTTTTGACGACCGGGGCTGAGGTGTATATGCTTGGTCCAGGAGAACGCCTCTAGGAGTAAAGGTGAAACACGCGTCGGAGGCCCTGGGGGATCCTCATCTCCTTATTTTTGGTACACCAGATCGAGCAGGTCCATGCAAATCATGTGGTGTAGATGACGTGACCCCGCATTCAACGTAAAATTGACTCTCGAGTCGATTTGTGCTCCCTGTCTCGAACATTTACTGGAGGGCAGCTCTTGTCATGACCCATGCCATGCTAGACATTCCAGGCAGTGGCGCTCGGACCCACGATGTGGCTGGAGGCCGTTACCGCAGTCTAAAATACGTGACGCTTGCAGGGGCGAATGAAGACGATCGGAGACCTGAGGGTGGTCAAGGCTGTGTCTACTTTGCCCGCGCACACGGAAAGATTCACGATGATCCCCCGATTGATGATTATTGGACAGACTCGAATTCACAATCACCCATTCCGTGGTCCTTGAAGATCACATGTGTTCCAGTGCTGGAACAACATCTGAAGCACCTGAGTAAGTCGCGGGGCACGGGACCAATGCCACGCGACGCGCTATCCGGCGATAAGCTCGATAGCACCAGCACCATGATGTCCGCTGCTTCCCATCTCAACTCCACTCAGCTCAAAGAGGACTGCTTCGAGACTACGTGAATTACTTTTGAAGCATTCTGCTATAGCGCACATCTGTTCAATATGGGTGCCAACCAGTCAAGACCGTCGGATGCGGCCGTCAACGAGAAGCTCCTCGAGAGGCTTCAGGCGCTCCAGATGAAAGACGATCAGCCTGTAAACGAAAAGGATGGCTACCTTGTCGTTGGCGGAGATACCCGTATGTCTTCCCAATGAAGAATTTGGACCTTTGAACCTGACGTGTTATGTGTTGAAGCTCCCAAATACATGGGCGCAAAGATCCAACACGATGTATCAGTCACCGCTATCAGCGAGTGGGAGAAGCAGCTCATGGAAGACCCAAAGGTACAATCGTCCTTCAGGTCGCACCCACAGTGTCACTGATTCGGATAGAACCGCCTCGCCCTTGCAGCACTCAGCTCAAACCCCGCCAATGCTGTGCTCTCCTCCCGGTCAGCAACAATTTCAGACACCCAGAAGTTCAATATCAAGATTCCCCTGGAAGGCTCTCCCGTCACCAACCAGGCATCATCAGGAAGATGCTGGCTCTTTGCTTCAACAAACGTCTTCCGCATTGCCATCATGAAGAAGTACAAGCTATCCGAGTTCCAGCTTTCACAATCCTATCTCTTTTATTGGGACAAGATCGAAAAAGCCAACTACTTCCTCGAGAGCATTCTCGATACATCGTCTGACGCAATCGATAGTCGCCTTGTGCAAGCACTCATGGCCAGTCCCGTCGGCGATGGAGGACAATGGGTGAGAATATTCTTGTCCATGTAGCACCGAGACATACTGACATTCTCATCAGGATATGGTTGCCAATTTGGTACAAAAATACGGCCTTGTTCCACAATCACTTTATCCAGACTCGTACAATGCCACCAACTCCTCCACAATGGACC